ATAAACACATCTACTCGACCACATAAGGAAATCTGAAAGGCAAAAGCAAAATACATGTCATTTACTTGTTAACAGAGAGCCACCATTTAGCAAGTAGGGACTAAAAAATTCTCACTTTTTGCTTTTTATAAAGGAAAAGCAAGCTAAACTCTCGTAGTGAACGTAGTTATTCTTAGAAGAACTTTCTTTTTAACAATTAGGTGTATTTCTCAGAACATCTAAGGATGCATGGTAACCACTAAATATGGGATAACCACTTTTTCTAGCAGCTGTAAGCTTGTCAAAGTTGAATTCAAATGCAGTATTTCTTCTCCTCTGCCTAGTGAAAGAACCACAAGGCCTCTGGGATGGAACAACCCATGTGATATATTTCTTCATCTACCTGCAACTTCTACCCTCAATCCAACCAGTGCCAAGAGCATGGGACATTGACTGTGTCAGACAGCGCTGTAAGATCAAAGCAGCAAACTTTTGTATTTGTGCTCCACAGCCCAAGAAAAAACATGGCTGAGAAACAATTCACTTAAAGCTACATCTGCTATATAATCAAATAACCAAAACATAAAAATAATGTGGTAGGAAAGGGGCAAAGCAAAAATGGAAGAAATTCCATTTTGACAGACCCAGGAAAATATCCGTGTAGCAACTGTATTTAGAAAGATAAGGAGCAAACAGAAAAAAAAAGTACCATATGTCCATGTTTTCTTTTATGGATAAGCAAATAATTTCATGCTTGTGAGTGACACTGTAAATATACTTAGAGGACAATATCTAAGAATAACAGAAACAGAGAGTCTGTTTGCCTTCTTTGAGGAGAAAAAAAATGTAGCCATCCCTCATCACAGCAATAACATACTGGTTTCTTCAGAAAAAGCTGCTATGACCATGACAAACTTAAAAATATTCAAAATATTTATTTAAACCCAGAATTTTTCTCGTTGCAACAACCTTGACAAGAACATTTTGCAGCAGTTCTCCTCACGGATGACTTTGAAATACAGAAAAGAAAAGAAACCTTCACTTCTAGAATTTTATTTTGCTATGAGCAAGACCAATCAACAGAATTGTTTAGAATCTGCCAAAAATACCTGCAGTTTTCCAAGACAAGAATTTTGAACTTCTGTAAAGACAAAAGTTTTTTATGGTTGTTTACAGTCTTAACGTTGAAGATTTTCTTTAGCTTCAGCAAACTTATAACTTCCTTAGAGAAACGAAAAACAGAAGTCTACTAACTGACACTAGAAATGCTTCTAAATACTTAAAATTATTCCATGAAGTATCCCTACTGTAATTTGTGATATGTCCTATTGTGCCTAGTTTTAAGTTCTCTAAGGATGGAAAATGGCATTTGTTTGGCAGTTTCACACATTGCTTACAGTGAATATCAACAAAATTAGAAAAAAAAAAACCTGCTCTAGTTTCATATCTCCATTACTGCAAAAAGCTCAGATGTCTCAATTTTCAAACTATTTCAGTTATTGTGCAAGAGGATTCAGCACACTCGCTTTGGGCCCTTGCTATCAACATACAATTCCACTAAATCCAAAGGGATTGTTTGCATGGCATTACCCATGCAAGCCCATGTCAGACAAGACTGCAGGAATAAAGATTGGTTACTGGGCTCATATTTTATCTGTTACAAAAACTGCCAGTAACTAAGCTAGCACCAGTTACTAGATGTTCTTAATTGTGATAAATTTTACTGGTTGCTAGAGCTTAGAAATCAATTCTACTCCCCTTTAGTGTTTACTAACCTCTCACGACACCTATTTCAAAAATGTCACAAAGATTTGCTGATTTATGCGTCCAAAGTATTTCTGAATGAAGAGTTCCTTTCAGAGTTGTTTTGTAGGTTAACAGATAACCCCAGTGCATCACAACTCTTTCAAAATGTTTTCACATAGCATCTATTTTCCATGCACTATTTTAGGTTTCCTGCCTGTTCCTTCAGCACTTACTACTTTCTATCAACAGTCAACTAAATAAAAAGAGAACCCACTGCTAAAGTCTCCCATTTGCTGTTCTAAATAGGCTGTTTTGCAAGTTTAGTAATTTTGCTAGTTCATGGTCTTTTATTCTTTTTTTTCCCCTTTTTTCAGATAGAATAAAATCCAGTCCTGAATCTCACATGTACAAATCTTCCTCTGTCTAGTCCAACTTCCACCACTACCCAGCTACTGTCTCATGAATTTCACGTATTTTGTTTTTCAAGTCCCCTTTGCGACTCCTACAATTCACATCCGTCAGCATCTGAAGCTGCTCTTGTAGCTGGAGCCACCTCATACTCCCCAGTTGCCAAAGGACCTTCCAAGTCTTCAGAATTTATCCTCTCTGTTTCCATCACTTCCCCTTCCAGCTCAGCTAAACCATTAAAAACTTTGTAATTCTTTACAAACTACGGAAATATGCTCATTTGTATTATCAACAAAAAGACTATTACTCTTTCCTCTACAACAACTCTATCTGCAATCTGATGCATGTTTTGTAAGTTTACATTCAATTAAAAAAAAAAAAAAAAGATTAAAGAAAGGGAAAATTTGGTAGAGTTTTCCTTCCCACCAACAGAAAACAAGGGGAGAAATTATTTCTTGTCACATACTAAGTTAAGTTTAAAAACTGCTGTTAGGTTAGGGTTCTCACTCTTCATATAATATATAATCTTTTTTCAATATTCTCTGATGACAAAATTGTAATAAAATGAAATTCACTTTTTTTTCTCTATAATCCATTCACCCTGTAAAATCAAAAAATGTAAAAATTTATTCATAAACTATAATTTCTTGCCATCATACACAAATTAGTTTCATCTTGAGTGTTTTTACAGACTAACAGAACACTTGCACTGCTTGTGTAAAAACACGTAACTAAAAGCTCAAACCCATGACTTCACTAAAAATACTAGTAATTAAGTAATTTCATGTATACAAAACAAATGTACAAGGGACTAGAAAATTTCCCATGTGGCCTACACATTCAAAACACCTGCACAAATGCCACAATTCTCTGCTTTTGATTCTAAAGTCTTCAATATCCTCTAATGACAGTTGTGCATCACATGTACTCTCTTCCTCTTTATTAACAGTTTTAGGATTAATTGTTATCTGTTTTTCCTACCTCATCAATCCAAGGCAAACAGGGGATATAATCTATTTTCTCAGGTAGATTTTGGAGCTGGATGTGTATGTTCCCTCTGTTCACTCAGCCACAGCTATTCTGAAGTACATAACAGCCGTACAGGGCAAATCAGCTTGTGCTAAGCAGCTGTCCTGCAGCAGAGATAAAGTGGAGAAAAATACCACATCAAAAACAACCACCAGGGAGACAGTCCTTCTTCCTTCTCATTTCACAAAGTTCACAACACGCTTTCAAATACTGCATTCAAGGCTATGTTCTGAAAAGCAGACTTTTTAATTTTATTTTCTCTGGTCTCAGAAACAGGAATAAGGTTCAGTGCTGCCTAACAGAGGCAACTAAAGAGAGAGATAATCCCCTGGTTCAGCAGACAGGCAGTGGTTAAAAGTTCAGTGCCAGGGTATGCCACAGATGGACTGCGGGAAGCTAAAGCTGTCACTGCATTTCTCTGAGCCCAAGTGTCCTGTTTGTACAAGAGGGACAGTAGCTCCGTTTGATTTTTTTTTAATCTGTGGCATAAAAACTCACATTTAAGTTCTTCAGAGCATAGACAAATTCATATCTATGACCACAGCTAAACACAACAGCCTCTGTTCTCAACTAGATCCTGCCAACTAAAGAGGAAAGCTGTTTTCTTTTCTAATACTTCTCACACCTTTAGCTCCAGAGCAGGGTACCTGAGTGCCATATCACCAGAGGTTTTTACAGCAAACTGCTGCCAAGTAGAGGGGAGAACACAGATGCACACACCCCCGAAGGAGCTCTGATTTCTTGTGTCCTGTGCTCAGGCAAATGACCAGCAGCACACAGGTCACGGTTACCTGATTAACACACACTTTGCTTTACATGAATTTTTGGCTCCAATGAGGTTTGTTTAGTTTCTCTTTGAAATAATAAAAAATAAGACTGTAAAACCAACGAACAAATCTAGACAAAAGAGATGGAAAGGATAGAAGAAGTAGAATCCAGTGTCACTGTGCATCCCAGTATGCTGAGAGAAGCCAGGGAAGCCTGGCTGTACTCATGCTGATGAGTACACTCATCTTCCCTAGGAATCCTTCATAGAATCCTAGAAGGTTTGGGTTGGAAGGGACCTTAAAAGATCACCCAGTTCCAACCCCCCTGCCATGGGCAGGGACACCTTCCACTAGGACCAGGTTGCTCAAAGCCCCATTTAAGCTGGCCCTGAACACTTCCAGGGATGGGGCATCCACAGCTTCCCTGAGCAACCCGTTCCACCCTCGCAATAAAGAATTTCTTCCTAATATCATACATATATCCATCTTCTTAATACCATGCATATACCTAATGTCTATTATATATCTAATATATATGCCTGCCCTCTTTCAGTTTGAAGCCATTATTACACTTTATCTTAACCTCCCTTCCTTAGACGCACGACCGTATTCCGACAGATGTTCCAAACCACTCCTTTCCAACAGGTGCCTCCTCGCCCCCTGCGGGGCCGCAGCTCCTGCCAGGGGACAGGGACAGAGCCGGGGGCTCCCGGCCGGACACCTGCGGGGCCGCCTCGCCTTCCCGCCGGCTTTACCTCGGCTTACGCCGGATTTACCGCCCAGACCCAGCGCTCCGGGAAGGGGCGGGCGGCGCAGCCCCTCGAGCAGCGGGAACAGCCGCCGAGCCCCCGCCCCGAGCCCCCTCACCCGGCGCTGCCCGAGCCCCGGGGGCCGGCCGGGAGCACCGCCCGCAACAGGCGGCCGCGGCAGGCCCCGCTGGCGGCGCCCGGGGAGGGCAGCGACAGCCGGGCAGCCCCCCGGCCGTCCCGCCAGGCTCGGCTGCACTCACCGCTCCGGAGCGCGGGGCGGCCCGTCACGGAGGGGCGGCGGGAGCGGCGCTGCCCGGGCCCCGAGGCGGCGGAGCGGCGGCGGCCCCGGTGGCTGCGCCGCTCGACGGGGCCGGGCTGGGCGGGGCCGGACGTGAGCGAACTTCCGCGGGCGGCGGGGCCGCCATGGCGGGTGAGTGCGGGAGGGAGCGGGAGGGAGCGGGAGGGAGAGGGGGGAGCAGCCGGAGGCGGGTCCTGGTGGTTTCTTGGTGAGCTAACGAGGTTTAATGTGCCCGTGGTGCCCCGCCAGCCCGCCGGGCTGTCGCTGTCACGCCCGGGTGTGGGCGGTGCCCCGGGAGGAGCGGAGGACACCCGTGTCGCACCATGTGTGTTACCTCATCAGTGTGTATAAATATCTGAAGGGGGGGTGCCAAGAGGATGGAGCAGGGCACTGCTCGGTGGTGCCGAGCAATAGCACAAGAGGCAGCGGGCCGACACCGATGCACAGTAAGCTCCATCTGAATATGAGAAAGAACTTTACTGTGCAGTGACCGAGCACTGGGACAAATTAACCACAGAGGGTGTGGGGTCTCCCTCACTGGAGATATCCAGGAACCATCTGGACGCAATCTTGTGCCTTGTGCTCTGGGACGACCCTGCTTCAGCAAGGGGGTGGGACCAGATGACCCACTGTGGTCCCTTCCAGCCTGATCCATTCTATGATTATGTGTGGCCTTCACATCTGTGACCACTTTTCAGGCGTCTCTGTGGATAAAAGTTAAAGCCAGCGAACAAGCAGGCAGGGTGTTATTGCTTGGTGTGGAGCCCTGCGTTGGCTGCTGGGGCAGTGCCTGCTGTGTGAAGGTGGGGCTGCTTCGTGTGCTCAGAGGGATGTGTTGCGGGTTCCTGTTGCTCTCTGGGCCTCCAGGGAGACACCATGAGATGTGGGCTTTGTGCTCAAGCAGTAAAGCGCCCACCGTCTGCAGAAGGACTCAGCCTTCCCCCAAACTCTTCCAGCTCGTGTGTTGCCATGAATTAATTCATACTTTTCATGGCACGAGCACTGGATGCATGCAGTAATTGTTGCCGTGATTTCCTATACTGCATTAGTATTTGACTGTCAGAAGACTGCTAGATTAGTCAGCTCTGCAAAGATGCTGCTGTCTGTGCTGCAATATCACATGCAGAATGTGCTTGTGTTCTTTAAATAACCTTGTTTTCTTATAAATAGTAATAAGGCTGATAGATGAGGAATTAGATTTCATGACCAGAGACAGTTAATGTAAATTCTGTTTTACTTTAATCAATATTCTCCAGTAGAGCATGGAAATCATTCACACAAACTGCTAATGGACACTGATTTATTTCTGTATGCTTTAAATGGCTTCAATATCTTTATTTTCTCATACAGCAAAAAGTCCTGCTGATAGTACTCCAAGAAGGCCTGTTTTATCTGTCAGTGCAAGAAAAATTAAAGATAATGCAGCAGACTGGCATAATTTAATGATGAAATGGGAGAGACTGAATGATAGTGGATTTACTACGGCAAACAAAATAGTCAACATGAAGATCAGTGAGCAGTAAGTATGCTAATACACAGGAATAAGGACAGCGTAAAGATTGCCTTTTTTGTGAGATTAATCTGTTTTCTTCACTAAAAAGTTCTTTTTGGAGACAGGGGAGAAAACATGCCACAGTGGATAAGCTAGCTCTTAGATCAAACTCAGCAGCTGCACTTTTTGGTTACATAAACTATTTATATTCAAATAATAAATGTCTCATAAAGATTAAAATAATCTCATAAAGTAATGTCATTTGCAAGAAATGGAAAACATTTCTTTTACATAGTCAAACATAACAGATATTTAAAATACTTACATTATCCACAAAGTTAAAATCTATAAATCTCACCCATGTGAGTTCCCTTACTCTCTTACATATTTTACACGTTTCACTCAAGTGAAAAGTTCAACAGATTTGAAGAAAGAATCAGTGATTTGTACAGACAAAAAAGTTTTAACAGTAATGACTTAAAAAAAACCCAACAGACAGAAAAACCACACCACCACCATACATAAACCCCCAAAACTAAAAACCAACAAAACAACAAAAAAGGGTGAAGAACTAAAAAAAAAAAAAAAAAAAAAAAAAAAAACCAAAAAAAACAAAACCACCCCACTTTGGTAGAGCTATTATTTTGATACTGTAAAGAAAAACCTAATTAAGAGGGTTGTGAGAAGAAGCTTCTTCAGAGTCCTGACAGCTGAAGAGAGTTTGCCTGACAGGGTTCTGACAGATACAAGTGAGGAGTATTTTGCTGTAATGGTGCCAGATGTTGCTTTTGCTCTCTAGCAGCTCCCTCTAAAGTTTGCCAGGCAGGGTAGGTGTCTGCACATTGGCTGCTCTGGGTTCACAGATAAATGTCTTGGCTTAAATTGTGCACAAATATGAGTTTGTGGTGAGGCACCAGGTTGTCATCCAGAGCAGATGAAGCCTGGGCAGACCTTTTCCATTATGGGAGAACCACCTCCAACACAGGGGCAGAGGGAAAAGGTGTTATCTTAACACCTGCAAGCACACCGTTTTCAAGCACATGCTCTGAGGTAGAGTAGGTCTGTGTTTCTCTTGGGGATTGTGGTGTCATCCCTATTTGTTCTCATGGCCTTGTGCAGTTTTTATGTAGGTATTCTCATGAACAATCTGTGAGAGAGAGATTTTGTAGGATCAGGCCACATGGATTTTAAATCTGCACAGCTCAAGTAAACCTATATGCAGTTGTTTAGTCTGCCTTATATTTCTATTTTAGATTTCAAGACAGAAAACTGGAGATAGCATGTGATAACAGTGTCACAGAACCTGAAAAGCCAACCCCAAGATACAACGAAGAACTGGACAATTGCTGTGCAGAATTACTCGAGACCTTAAAGCAGATGGTAACGCTCATTTTCCAGTCTTAGTCGATATGAATCAGTTCCAAGTGTGCTCAAATATGACATAAGGAAATGTTCTCAAGTATTTATTGTAGACAGAAAATTGGGGGTTTCTTTCATAGTTCTTTGGCTTCAAACCTAAATGGTTATAAATCCAGCATGCACCATTTATTTGCCTGATCGGTAAATTTGAAAGTTGGTTTTACATCTGCCTTCTGTTTATAATTCTACTCCTCCCTTTATAAAGTGATCTGGAAATAAGTTGTACAAAGAATGCGTTCTAAAACTGCACATATTCTCTCATACTGGATATTCTCTCCGTTTAGAACAAAAGAAACAACAAAGCATAAAGTAGTGCTTTACCTGCCATCATATCCTTGCAGCTGTCTTTGATCAGACATAATGCAGTTATATTTTTAGTCTGCCTACCTGCATTTGCTGTGCAGATCTCCTTCTCTAGAGAGTGGAGTAAGATAATTATTATGTAACCCTTTTTTTTCTGGATGCATTGCTAGGAATTAATGCCACCTGTCAGTTTGACAAGAAACAAACTGTATTTTTCTGCCTGAAACTGTAATTTAAAATTCATATTAAAAATAACTTTTACAGCCTTCTGCCAAAGTGGAGGCCCATTAAAAAGATGGTAGATCTCCTTTTTTTACATAGGCAGCATACCAGTCATCCAGTATTTAGAAAAAGCAGGAAATGAGCTAGATTTCCCTCAAATTTTGTGCTGGGGGAAAAAGTAACAGTAATTTTTGTGTTTTTTCATTGGGTTCTTTTTCCCTTGAGGTAATTTTGTATTCAGACTACCAAGTGTGTTGATTTAATTTTTTACTATTCCTGAGTAATACGAGTCTAAACAGTGTTAGATTGGATACTAAACATAACTACAATGATCTATTTTATTTTTCATTCCTTATGAGTTTATACCAGCTTATGAGTTTAGAGAAATATCTCTATTTTAACTGCTGGACTTAAAGATACTGCCTGCAAGCTCCATTTTGTTGTAAATATTCATCCCCATCAGCAATGCACAAAGTCAGGTGAACATGAAGCAAGTGGATGGAATGACCTGTTTTTTGAAGCAGGCTGTTAGATCAGCCTAGATACCTTGTCAGTAGTAGCTTGAGCTGCTTTTCTCACCTGCTGCTGATCTTTTGAAATCAAATTTAAGACATTTTTACATGGTAATGTAAGAAAACCTATGTTGATAGGGCTTGTGCTACACTTGTTTGATGTTTTTCCCCAGTGCTAAATTGCTATAGGAAAAACCTAGAGAGAGAAAAAATGACAGAAAGCTTTAGTATATTTCTACATGAGGGAAACAAAAGAATGTGCAAAATCAGTCATATCTGCAGTGTTCAAAATTTCAAGATATCTCATATTAAATATATAGATTCCAGGTGTCACGTCTCTCTGGAGTTAAAAAACTGTGATTTAGAAATACTAAGACTAAATAGCCTTCATAAATAGCATGTTTTTAAAAAATCCTTGAGATTATAGTAGCCTGATGTTCCTGAGATGTTCATTAAGATTACACATTCATCATTTTTTCAGACAAAAATACAACTGAAAATGGAAAAGCTTACTTTGACTACTAAAGGAATTTGTGACTTGGAAGCATTCCACCATGGAGCCGGGAATTGCACAGCACCCTTCTTTCATACATGGCCCACACCATATTTCTGTAAGTAAAATATTGATTATCTTAGCTAATTATATTGTGTCTTTGATGTCATCTAATTTAAGACTGAAAAGTGAACCCTTTTATCTGGATGTCTTGCCTGAGAGAGGGTGTGTGTCTCCTTTACAATTGACTAATCAATAAACACGTGAATGCACCACTTGGCTTAGGGTTACTGCTGATCCCTGCTTGTGTGAAGTGCCAGGCATTGTCTGACATGCAACAGTTACAGCACAGAACTAAGCTTGTCAGCAGCTTACAGTGGCCAAGCTGCAACAGCCACGTCCTCTGAAGGGAGAGACATGTGCAACTTGGTGGTGTTAAGCTGTAGGCTTAGCTGCTTGACACTGAAATTAAGTCCTTGAATGCAAAGAGCAAGCTATACCTCAGTTAATTCTGCAGGCAGCCAAAGAAAAATACCTCTGATCTCAGTGTCAGTCAAGACAAGTAAAGAAATGTTACTGTCTACTGTTAATTCTTTTAGCATTCACTTGATGGCAAAAAGTACTGCCTCCCAACTGGTATTACCCCAGTTTTAAGACTGTCTGAATTCAAGAGAAGCCTGATTGCATGCAAACCAAATGCCTTCTTTGTGAAGTGGAAGTCACGTGAAGCCCTGCTTCTTCACTACCACAATTTAGCAGGAATCTTATGTATTAGTTTCTGTCAGCTTAAAAGGGTAAGAATGACAAAGACAACTGCTATCAAAACACCCATTGTGACTGAATCATTTAGTGATGCTGTCTGCTGCATGAAAGACTAAATCCTTCTGAAGGCAGTGATAGTTCAGGCTAAGTTAGAAACACAGAATCACTTTCTTTAAAAATAATTTGTATGGTTATTTTTTAGGAAGTCAGACAATTAAAGATTATTATACAGATGCATTTAATCCCCCTGCCAGTATTACTAACATAGCTAGTAACAGTATTAGTTTTTACATTACTTCAGTTTTGGTCTGTTGGGGTTTTCGCTGTTGTTTTTCATTATTGATATCACTCATTGGTGATCATGCATTGCTGAAGTGCCTGACAGCATGTGGGGGCATTCTTCAGTTTAGCTAAAATCAATAGGGACTCTAAAATGTGAAGCTTGTATTGCAGGATAGCATTACCAGATTTTAAAATCAAATTTCGGTTATTTGAGGAATAGCTATAATTGATAATTATTGATTCTAATTGCTAATTTTCTGGTGGATTCTGAGAACCAATACCACTGCTTATTCTAGAATTAAATGGGGACTCATGTCAAAATCAGATGTGTGTAAAATATATCCCAAAGCTGAGGAAATTGTTTAGCATTTGATATTCTAGTGTAAAAACATGATTAATGCTCTAAAAAACAAGGTGTCTGTATTAGGGCAATAGCTTATGTAAGGTAGGTGGATTTTTTTAATGATCCACACATTTCAAGTGTAATTTAACTTGTAGAGAATTGCTGATATATTCTGGTCAATGTGCTGGTTTTTTTAATCCATTCCAGATGAGGTCTCTTGGAAGCTCTCCGAAATGTACAAGAAGGAACTACAACTCAAGCAAGCAATTGTACAAGACATAGCTCATTCTGCTGACCAGGATCTGCTGATGGTGTATTTATCATCGTGGTTATACCAGCCTTACATTGAGAACAGCAGCACACTGCTACTTGAAGCCATGCTGCTGGAGACAGGACACAGAAAGTGCTAGAATTCCAAAAGTTACATGGCTGGCTTCTAATGATGCTTACATGAAACTGAAATGGCAAATTGCAAGGCTTACCACGTAAGTTGAATTTTTGTAAAACTTATTAAAAAAGTTTTTCTCTGTTTGTATTTATTATTTTGTCTTAGCTGATACTCCTGTTTCTGCATGGGACAATCTGGTTTGGGTTGTTTTATCCATTTTAAGAGCAGTAGAGAGGATACAGGTAGGAGGCTAAGTCTCCTGTAATCAGGAAGAAGCACACAGCTTCAGCAAAGAATGTTACTTCTTTCCAAGTCTTGACAATCTGAAGTACCTACACAGTCCCTTTGGCCATAGAATTTCAGCACTTCATGATCTTTCATGGAGGGTCTTTTGCATGATTTAACAGGACGAGTGCTTTTGTACTGGCTTCATAAGTGAAGAAGAGGAAGGCAAAAAAAGGCAGGATCCAAAAGGATCCACATAGTTTGGTATGTGATTCTGAAATGCAGTTGTAGACAATAGTGTTAATTCTGGTTTGGTTTTGAGTCTGGTGGTGTTAGGGGTGCATCACCCTTCAAGAGTGATCCAAGCCTGAACTACCACGCTGGGAAGATTTAGTACAACTCAGCATTCCACAGTCATATAAAAATGTCTTTTCTCTTAATTAATTTTAACTTTTTCTCTTAGAGATGTTTCATGAAAGCATCTATTCAATAAATAGAAGACCTCCTTCAGTCAGGGCCGTATCCTATATTGTTTCCTCCACCCCATAGGGCTCTGTGAGTTTTTCCTTGGACTACTGCTACTGATATCAAGTGATTTTCGTTTGCCTCTCTGTACTGATAGCAAAGGCAGCATCACTTACTTAACTGGCTCTAAGCTGAAACCTCATAAGCTTGATAAGTTTGCTGCAGTAACAGAACAGACAGACATGAACTGGTAAAGTTTTCTCAATGTGTTGCTGTGTTGAACGAGGTTCTTTCTGACAGCTAATAGAGTTCTATTCTTAGCCCAAATTTCTAGTGTCTAAAAAGCAATTCTGCTGTAGCTCAAGGAGAACACAATCAGTTAGGAACAGCTTTGTTGGGTTTTATTATTTTTCAGTGCAAGTGTTCCACCTAGTTTAACAGCCACTTTAATTTATCTGAGTAGGGCCAGACCCGTGTCACTATGGAAACACCTTCATACTTCAAAAATATTTTCCAAGGAGAAAAGATTGGTTCACATATAGGATTGTTCTTTTAAGATGGGAGTAGGTGTATTGTATTTCCCAGCATGTGCAAATCAATAGGGAAGACAGAATTGAAGCAAATATTCATTTTCTGCACAGGTGGAAATTGTGGTTTGCTCGTTTCTTAGAGGAAATAAGCTCTTCAGGAAGAGGTCTTCGTATTCACAGACCCCCTTGCTTATTGATTGCTGTCAGACATGGGAAGATTACTGCAAAATCATTGCAGAGATGTTTTGTCATTATAGCTCTAAGCAGTTGATTGTTATATTTGAAGCCTTCAGATGTAGTGATTAGACAGCCAGTACAAAAGAGTGTAATAAAGAATTGCTCACTGCAAAGACTTTGAAAGACCAGCAGAATCTGGCTTTATATGCTACCTTCACTTACAGGGTAGGTCTGTATCCTCTGGCCATTACCACCTCCTAATAAAACAAAGATGGGGAAAAACCCAAATCAAACACTACACCATAAACCCAACCACCAGACAGGAGCTCATTAATACAGAGCATCTTTCACAACCACACCTAAAAGGCAGTGCTTTGACTAATCAAATTCATCTTCTACTTAGGCAACCAAGAGAAAACCCAACCAAACAAATAAAACCAAACCAGCTATGTTAAAGGGACATAGAACAGATTATTTCACCTCTAAGTTCTCTCTCCTGTTTAGACTCAATTTTTTGTGCTGTTCTTCATAACAATACCATGAAAAAAATCGTGTTCATATTTGATTTATCAACAAAACAGCTCTCCTGCAGATCAAGGTCCTTAGTGGATTTGTCCAGTTATCTCAGGAGCCTCCTTTATTTAGTAATGAGGTGACACACACATTTTAAAGATATGTTACCAATTTACAGTAATGTCTACTCATTCAGCACTGTTCTTTTTCACCTCTTAAAACTTCTTGGAAGACAAGACAGTGCCTTGGACAAGAAGCTGTTGGGAGGTCTCCACAAAAATACATTATCTAAGGATCGTATTGAAAGTATGACAAAAATACGAGATAGCCATTGCTAAGTGATTTGCCAAGTTTTCTCCCTGCCTAGAGAAACAGGGAGTCACGGATACCTTTGTATTGTGATTAAACAGTGCAAGGCAGTGTGAAATTACTAGGAAGGTCAAAGGGTAGAACTGATAAAGGATGCATCATGTGAAAGAAAAAAACATGTAATACCAGTCTCACAAAAATAGGCCATCGCAGACTAAAGCAAAAGAGAATTTGGTACCTCATTAAGGAAAATCAGATCACTACTTATGCACCTTCCCATTTTTGTCTAAGTAGCAGCAATTCTTAAAGGTGTGGATGAACATTACACAAAACTTAAATACATTTCCAGCAGTTCAGTACAAATCGGATCTTGTTTGAGGCTATTTCTGTCACTAACTCTGTGGATGGTTATTTCAGTAAGGATCAGCTAGGCTGTCACATTGTTCCTGTAATGCCCAACTGTGGATTATACTTAAAACTGCCCATTTTTCCAGGCAGGTTTATGTGCATCAAGTCTAGATGCTAATGAATATTCACACTTTGAAAAACTGCAATACCAAAAAGTGTTTTGTAATCTCAGTGGCACAGAAAATGCACATTTTTAATATAGCTTTTATTTTACCCATATACAGCTTGCCAGTACACAGCACATCACTGCTGAACAGCAGTACAACTTACTGCATTTTTAGATGGCTAGAGAGAGAAGGAATTAGGTAACAAAAGGGAACAGTGCAACAATTTTAGGGTTGACAGATTTCTACTTCCCACCCATCTCCAACATATAAAGCAAATAGAACAATGTTAATTCTAGAATTTTTGGTTGCAATGCTGCTAGATTTATATAAACATAAGTTATAAAAAGTACAGGGCATAGAAACAGTTTACAAATAAGTTAAATTTCAATTATCTCAGTATTCACATTAGAAAAATATACATTTTATAATCAGTCTTTTCCAGAAGAAAGCTTATATAGGGTTTTTCTAATTTATGGCTCCAATTCACTTTGCGAGAGCAAAATATCTTCACTTTGGCCACCTGCCTCCATTGCCAGTAGTGCTTCCACAGTTTCCAAAGGTATCCCCTCAGGTGTACGAATGTGCATTGTAGTACCGCTGGAATCAGTTACAATAACAATGCCCTCTGCCCGAGACAAAACAGCAGTGTCTGGATGAGACAGGATAAGCCCATCTGAAGTCTGAATAAAAATCTGTTCGTGTCCCTGAGACAAAAAATCATGGCTCTCATCGGAAATCTCAAAAGCTACAGTTTCATCTACAGTTACTGTATTCGCCAGCTCATGTGCTTCCTCTGTCCCACAGGAATAGTCAGTCTGGTTTTTAAAAGCATTTTCATGGTTCACATGAGCAGACAGGGAGGCTCCCTGGACAGCGTTTGGGTGCGACTCAGCCTGAGCACCGTGTGGGTAGTTTATTGGCACAACGTTTGCTGAAAAAACCTTTTCAAGCTCCTGCATCTCGTCAGTCATACCAGCGTTACGAAGTTGCTCAGAATGTTCTTTAATTGCAAAATTAGGGTTTTCTTCTTGCAGCTCCTGATATTTTTGATTGTGGCCATTTTCCTCACTCGTTGGTAAGTCAGTGCTCTGACTGCCCCCTGCGTGCTCCGACACCAAGCTGCAAAGTTCCGGAGCTGCCAGTCCACCCACCACATTCTCGCTCACAAAGTGCCCTTGAACCAGCTCTGGTGAACCATCTGCTTCAGCAGGCAGCACGACCTCAGTGTGCACCAGGGATGCGTCACCCGCCAGATCTGGTCCCTGGATGTTCACAGGCTGGGAATATTCTATCCTCATTTCCACGGTCTGGGAGAAGGTACCTGAATTTTCAGCAGCGATGCTAACTCCTGAATCAGCAAGTGAATTATGTTCCTCTGCTGTTGGTAATGTACTTCCAGTTGTGCAGCAAGTGATATGCCTATCTTCTGAAAGCAGGATTTCTCCATTTAATGGATTAAAACCTGAAAAGGGGAAAGAAATATAGTTTTGTTGGGCAATCTAATACTGCATGACCAGAAAACTATTTTTCAGCAATAATTTTGGAGGGAAAGCTAGACTACTTCCCTGCTTTCTTCCCCCAAATTAGCAAACCTGAAGCACCTACAAGTTCCACAGAACTTCCCAATGAGAAAGTCAGTATAAAAATACTTAAGGAATTTTTGCATAATGTTATATTATCAGTATTTCTATAGTAAGATATATTAAAAAGCATAATTTTTCTGTTAATCCTGAAAACAACCTGGTCTGAAAGTCAAACTCAATTGTCTTCCATCTGTCATGCAGTCAGTAACATTAAAAGATAAAGACTTCACCGGGCACAAACTTGTCAGCTGCTCATCCCCATCACCATTAGTAAGCTGACAGAAGCATTTAAACTTGATAAAATTTCTGTTGATAATTAAGCTCATCCTGGACTCAGAGATGTCATCAAGTTATTACATATTAATTAACTGTGCTAACAGCCCCAGTTTCTTCCTGTGGCAGAAAAGGTAAAAAACACTAGAAATGCAGTGTTTTACCAACTACTTGACCTGGACCAAGTGCCAGATCACAATAACTACTAAGATGCAGTAGTATGACCTGCCAGTTTTTATTATTGCAGGTCAAAAGGAACAACTTGTTATGAAAGATACCACTGCACAACAAAGGAGGCCTAACAGTGCAGAAGGGACTATTTTTAACTTTTTGCACTGTAGACTAGCAAAAGCCCGACTAGCAGATACAAGTGAAAAAAAAATTTTGAAAACTCATATCCCAGAAAAAAACCACAGTACAGCAAGAAATAAGCATGGTCATACAGAGAAAGAAAAACAAACTAAGTGGGGGAAACAAAAAACACCTCTGACTGAAAGACATGCAAAGGGCAAGAGCGAAGCTGCTTACAGCAACACCAGAAAAAGGCATTT